CTAACCGCCAATTTGCTGGAACGATCATCTAACTTTGTCCTCTGGGGTCTAAGCGTACTGCTAGTGGCAATTGTGATATTGTGTACAAGTGACTTCTAGCACTCAAGGGGAAAAAATCAGGTGGCTTTTATCTCCAAATGCCCAAATTGCTCACTGCCTATAATAACATTCTCAAAGTACCAGTGAGTGTTCTGTCTGTTGAAGATTGTCCCTGATACGATAGCAATAGGATGCTCTTCCCGCACCTTTGCATTGCGCTATGTAGCTTCAAAAACGATGTGTTGTTGTTCTGCTCAAAGATGACAACTAGGTAAGTCCCGTCCGACTTCTCAAAAACTACTTAATGGTACAAGACTGAGCTTCAAAGCTCTGTGAAGAGCCAGCTTTTCTCCACTGTTCCATTCTTTGAATGCCAGTAGCTCACTGATTCCCACTGATTTTCCTCCAGTGTAAATATGCTGGTAATGTTGTGCCTGGACGTACATTTGACGTACCGGAAGTTTATGTGAATCTACTTTCCAGACTCTCAATGGCTTGAAGTGTCAGAAGGTAGGTTCTTGTCTCGTTTAAAATATACGATTGTTTGTGGAGCCCATTAGCTGCACCATGCTCTTAGCTCCAAAACCTCTAAGAGTTGCATTTTCTTGCGTATGTGCTCAAACCAAAAACCATTCTATTCTACGTCCATATTTTTGCAGCTCACCAAATTTCATCGTCCACTGAAGCAATCATATCTTTGGCGGAAAAGCCTGCTGGGATAATTTGCCAGCATCGCTGAGACCCCAGAATGCCTAAATGGGGGCTCAAAAGTTTGGACTGGTACTCTGTACCCAATTACCCGAATGCTTTAGTTCAATAGGGACACGTCTAGCTTTCGAAAGTTTTATTCCACTGTGCGAGTACTGAGCGCCGTTGTTTGTTCTGTAGTCCCATTTTCCCCACTAAATACTGGTTTTTCAGTCCAAAATCCTTCGTTTTGCAGTAACTGGGGCCTAACCGTCCCAGATAGGACGCGTCGAATGCTCCTAAGGCTTTTAACTTCATGTGCACTTCCACAGTGGGTTAACTGTTTCCCTTCGTTTTTCCGGTTGCCATGGCGTACTCGTGGTTGAGCTTATCAGGTAAATGGTGCGCAAGCCCATTTATGTGAACAGACATTCGTATGTCAGGCAAGTCCAACCTCTTTACGCATATACATTACATGCATACTCTATACATACTTTATTTCCCCATGCTCAGTCAAAATTCAAACTCTGCCCCTATTGTGGCTTCTCAATAATGTTTTCTCTATTATTTCCACATGCAATACTTGGTTATTAGTAAGCTCGTTAGGTGAAAGTCCAGCTACGACTGTTAGCTAAATAGACTATAAATACCTGTAAATTTTGCATGTTTTCCCGCTTTCTCATACTTCTTCCAGGTTGAACTATCACCCCTCCTTCCGATAAACAAAACACTTTGTGTCTCGAATTGGTTAGAATATTCCCCCCATTGTTCAACTTTGGTTGAGTTTCAGGTTCTTCATGAATTGCACTGAGAGTGAAGCATTAATGGGTACTTCCCAGTCAGCTTTTCTTTACTGAAATATACCCGTGTCGAAAAATTCACAAGAACCAGGTTTTCATCTCACACTTGTGTGCACACTTGAAGGCCTTTTAGGGCCCCAAGCTCCTAGACAAGTTTAATAGTGAAATAAATAGTTGTTGTGAATGGCGAAAAATGAAGTGCTATGTTAGCAGCATAATTATGCTTCAAGATTGTCTAAATAAATTTAACATTTTTATTAATGCTTTTCTATTACGATCACCATGGTTAATTGTTTTTTTTTGTTTAATCTCACACGTGTAAAATCCTATATATATCCGTAAGTCTTCAGGCGTTTAATATCATACTACGATCGTTTGGTTTGGCCGATGACGCAGAATCGTAAATCACCACAGAATGTGTGATATTTATGTCGCTGTTGTTGCTGGACCTGATTTCTTCTGTAATATGGAAATGAGGCAAAAATGGACAAGCAGGTAACCAAAACTCTGGACGACCTGTCGGTCAACGATAGTGAAGTCGTTAATTTAGAACTAGGACCGATAATTTCCGTGACACAATTTTTTCAAGGTTAAGAAATTTCAAATACAAAAAAGCCAGAATACATTTCAACATTTATTGGTCCAAACAACTGACAAATAAAGTAATTAAATGGTTTTGTAGGCAGAAAACGCTACTCATGAGCTCGATTAGACGTTCCTGACAGCCCTCGACCGGTTTCATCCTTCTTGGTATTCATCAAGATGAAGCAGTCACCAGGCTTCCGCCAATCTACGTAAGTGTAGATCGCATCCACTCGCACACCACTTTGGTTTCAATCTTCAAACTTAACCTCATCGCATCAAGTACATAATAAAAAAGCTTGAGGACTTGCCGTACTAAGATACTAATTTTTTTACCTAAAACTAAAACCAGATATCTCCATAATGAAACTTTTTCCTGGATCACATTTCAAGCACATAACTTGACTGAAATCCTGCACTAACTTCGGTAGTCTCAATGGTCGAAACAAATAAATTTTTCCGAGGACGTTTGTGGTAAAAATGCTTCTCAAAATGTCCAAGTTAAAATCATGGACTAGCAGTTTTATCACCCATCTACTTATGTTTACCTCCGCGAGATTTATGCAGAATAAGAGTAGGTAATCTTAAATATGGAGGAAGAATTCTCGTCATGTTTGAAAAGCCCAACATTCTTTGCACTTGCTTCTATGAAATATTGTGTGACTTGATGATATTGCCAGAACTAAAGTTTTACCATATTTGTTTCGTACAGATGAACTGCTGGTAAAAGTCTGACATCGAGGTAAGCAAGCCTCATCTCTGATAGAAATATACAAATGCTCATAAGAATGAATTAGGGGTGCCGTACTTTTTCCTCTCCCATGGCGACCATATTTATTGTTGGTCCCTTTGTTACTAAACACCCAGCGTATTTAATCAGACATAGGATTAACCAAACTTCTTGTCCTACACCAGTTTAACGGTGGTACTACTGACGGGGAGGCACGTGAGTGGTATGTGTTGCTTGTGCAACTTCGCTTTGCGTCTTTTGAAAAGGGGAGATCTGTTGCGGAATTTGTAGAGTCTTACTCTTGCAACCGGAGCGCCCAGCGCGCTAGCTTCCCGCGAGGATCTCTGGTGGTGATCGTTTTTGTAGATGAAACGTTTGCCCAAGCAGATATGGCCTCCACTTATCCAGGGCCCAGACGATCGCTAAACATTCCTTTTCAATGGTGGAATACTTCGGTTCAGCGTTATTCAGGACACGACTGGCATATTCGATGACCCCATTCCTCCGCTTAAGGACTACCCCTATACCGCGATCACTTGCATCCGTTGCAACAGTAAGCATCTTTTCGATTCTGGGCAGTTTGAGGGTCAGTTGTTAATCCAACATCCGCGCTTTGACACGCTCAAAAGCCTCGTGTGCTTCTCCGGTTCATTAGAATTTCCGATTTCGCCCGAGCAAGTCGTTCAGTGGCTCAGCGATCGTGTTGAATTCTTCAACGAACCGGCTGTAGTATGCTGTTCGTTCGAGAAACTGCCGTAGAGACCGCTTTGAATTGGGAACCGCACAATCGTTGATTTTTGCCAATTTTTCGGGCAGTGGGCTAACTTCTCCCTGACCCACTTTATGCTCCAGCATTGTCACCTAATTCCGCAGCGAAAGCTTGCTTGCTTTCACCAGTAAACAAGGATACGTTTGAATGCAGTTTTTCCCTGAAAATACATGCCGTAAATATTATGGGGTATTATTGGACAAAAAAGCACAATATAACTAGTCCGTAGTATGCGTCAGTAAAAGAAGGCTACCGATCGAAAAAGGCATTCAGTTTGCAGTTGGCAATGGCAGCACCGAGTCCTTCACAACATGTCAACTGCTACGGCCAAATTGCGACTACTTCAGCAATTGCGTGTGCACTGGTTCGCACAAATTTGTGTCGGCCGCACCGTGTGTTCCAGCATAAGCCTCTCTGGGTAGTTAATTTCCATCAGGATGCTTAAAATAATAGGCAGTCCTACAGTCGGAATATCTTTTGCACAAATACTGCGTTTCACATTACTAAAAATCAGAAGTTAATAAAAAGTATCTTGTCTAACTGTGAGTTTGCCAGGCTGCTGACCAGCCGACCCTGGTCGAAATGTTCAAAACACTGGAACAGAGGTCGCGGGTTTCGTTAAATGGGCAGTGTTACTGATTCCCGATAATCATGAAAGGGCCGCAGATTGCTTGACGGCCTTCAGGCGTCGAATGGTTCTATTTAAAAAAAAATCAACTTGAAAAATTTTAAAGTTAGCGTACTGAGTAGAGTCTATCCGGCATACTCGACTCCGAAACATATCATCCAAATTCCAAGTAAACTGAAAACTACCTTCACTTTTGTCCTTTGCGGCGAATCGCAACACTCAATGTACTGAAGTTTTCGCCCATTTGTTATCCGTGAATAACTCGTAATACATATCACAACCAGAGTTTACACAACAGTGGGTTTGAAAATATTGCCCGCATACATATCAGTTAGTATGATTCAACCAAGGAGAAATCGCCACATCACCTTGCTCTCTAACAATCTTTTTCGCCGGATAATTTTTTTTTGAATATATTGGCCTGATAAAGATGGCTGGGTGGCTCTATGAAATCACATGTTTCCATTAAGCGGACGGTGGAAAACACGGGGTGATTTTCCTCTCGGATGATTCAAGGTAAATATTTATTTCCAGAAACATGTTACCGATTCAGGTGCGAAACGTGACAAATTGTCAACACACAACAGTCTTCGTGTCCATGCTTAATCACTATTCACCTCAATAATTTTGGTAAACCTGATTGGCTTTCAGTGAATTAACCAACGAGAATAACGTGGACAGAATACTCGTCACTTAAATTCACTTCTGCGTCATGATGGACTGGGCTGTCTTACGGAGCCGGAAGGAAGCAGTGGCTTGGTCAAAATGACACACACTGTTTTACTACTTGGTGAGTTTGTATTCATGTTTGTCTCATTTTTTAAAGAAGTTTTGACAAACTAGTTTATCGGTTGCAAAGCTTTCACAGTTACAGCTTCTGCTGTTAAAAGATCATTCTCTTGTTCCTTTGCTGATGTTTTATTACGGTACCGCTCAGAACTGGGCGCCAGACATTTGTGTCATGCGTGACATGCTATGATTTCACGTGGTACCTACATTACTATCATATTGTAAGATAATATGCATAAGGGTCCTGTTCTAGGACCCAGCTTCGAAAGGAACAGGCTTAAATAGGATAGCAGTTCTTCAATTCTAGCTAAATTTTGTCTTAAGCACTTGTCCACCAACTAGGAAAGACTGAAAAATTCCTTTTGATTGTCAAAACTCCAAGCCGCGTCTATTGTTTTTGACCGTTCTACGGGGAGAACAACGTTTTCATATCAACCACCTCACAGTATTTGAGGGAACATTATTAGGGGTTAAATATCGTCCAAGAAACTTCCTCAAACGATGCAAAAATCTGTCCTCTCCCCTCAAGAATACAGATTGTTCGGAAACGCACCCTGTGCGTATGAGTGGTCAGGTTAGTCCATATGTGTGCAACAAGTGGCATTTCGCCTCAGCAGAAAGTTCCAATTCAAACCATATGGGTGACCACAGATATGGATTTGAGACACAATAATGCTACTCGGTGAATTGGATCAAAGCTCAACAGCGTGTGAATATACACCATTTTGAACAAGTACTTCTGTGATACTTGCCCGAATTTTTATTATATTGTATAATTACTCAATTACCCTGCCGAATCTTCAGAGATTTCATTAGACATCGGCCTACTGTGGGTTACCTTGGCTACTTATCCACTTTTATTGCCCTCAGGTATGCACCGAAACCGCGTATCTACATATGCACGTATCTGGTTTTGGTTGATTTCTAACTCGAATGAGAAGTAGTCAAGAATAACTCATTGATGTCTGTCAGCATCGTTTATGATTTCAAGCGTTTGAAGTGGAAATTAACTATAAATCTGAGTGAACACTGCGGGGCGGTTTCAGTGTGTAGGTTCCTTAGGTGTTCAATCGATATTTTAGAGAATCAGAAAGCGTTTTCTTTTTGTCTACCTTGTTCCATTTCCTCAAGTAGGGTTTCAACGCAAAGAACCTCCTTGTGGCCCACGTCATCTCACCTAACGGACTTTATTCATCCGCAGGGGGTTTTCTGGTTTCCACACTTGGTTGTAGCTGAGAGGATAAATCAGTTAATAATATAGGACAAGATTTAAAGTATATTCATATATGGTGCACACCGAAATTATTGCGTCAGTTCTGTGAAAAGACATGGTGTGGTTTTTTTCGAGGAACACAGTGTTCTTCACAATTTTTGATAGAGTCCACTGCAAGAGTGACCCAACAGCTGCTGGCCGAAACTATCAAGTCATCTTTGTCCATTAGATTTTGTATCAGCCACTGAATTTTCGACGCGAGATAAACATTTTCCAAAACCATTTCATACGCTAACTTATGCTAGGGGCTTAACCGATCAGTGAGCCCGCCATGAATACCTTGGTTACCACTAGGCACAATCCTGGCCTCTCTCGTCATTCATTGGAGTGTGCAGTTGGTCAAACACACTCATCTTACTCGAAGTGCTGTTGAAAGCTTCACCAAAGGAGAAATCCAAGAATACAGAAAACTGGGTTGACATTGGTTAACTGACGCTGTAAAGGACCTAATAATCTTATTGTGCAATGTTACCAGGCAGGTCCTCTGTTTTATTCTCTTTTACACATTTCGAAGCAGATTAAAATGAACCATAGAATTGTCGTCCTCACTACATTGTTCGAAACAATTGGTGCTTATTCATTCGTCGATTAATAATTCCCTCATTGGGGGGGTTGGACAGAGAATTATGTACTCGGAAGTTCTCAACTTTAAGGGGTGTGATGGTGATGTGAGCAGATTAGGCAATATTTAAGAGATTTCGCCCCATTGGTGACACCAGTATATATTGAGAAACCGAGAGGCACTGTACAGCTACATCATCTGTCCTGGGATCATCAATAGTGCATATCTCGGGGAGTTGCGGACCCGCGAACTTATGGCTGCCAGATGAGCACCTAGCCGTTCGGTCCTGAGCGGCCAATCAGCAGTGTGACTAGCTCCCATTTAGGCAGAATATAGTATGAGCTAATCCATCAGCTCATCAGTTGCTCGAGGCCGAACAGTTAGGCAATCAACCGCTAGCTGAAAGATCGCCTTTTCGAAACTCACTGAGTTGCCTGAGATAAGCACTGTTAATGATTCCCAACAAGGAAGAAAATCCGTACAAGGTTTCTTGACTCTTCACTATAGACTGTGCTCACCGACAGAACAAAAGCTCTACTAAACATCATGAGATTTATCTCTAATTCCACTGAACCAGCTGAAGTTATCAGGTGCAACAGTGTATCAACAAGAATGACTGCTCCTAGTATACAAGGAAACATTAGCCTCTACAATTTGCAGTCCATGACCAACTTGCCTGACAGAATGGGTGCTCAGTATGGCTCTGACGATACAGAGAAAAAGTAGATTTTTCGGACACCCAACGTATGAGGCATGGAAGCAAACACCCAGAAAAATTTAATGTCTGTTTACACCGGGTTAATCGGATCCATCTTCCCTCTTTAAACCATTCAAAAGACTCCGCCATGTCGTTAGTCAGATTCACCTGCACGAACTTCTGTAACTAAGCTGCCAAAAACAGTGAATCTAGTGGCTTAACAAATGCTGTTTAATCGGTTATATCAAGATGTCGTAGAGCTGTTTTTGACTGCACTTTCTTTGAAGTCTAAATCACTGATCATTTTGGGATTCAAATCTTTTGGATAAAGTCACCGGTTTTGCTGCGATTGCCGGCCAGTATGGACCCCGACTCTAACGACGCTAACTTTGGCTGAGTAAGGCAGACATTGCACATAATAGCACTTTGCTTGGCAGTTAAAAGCACTTAAATTCAGGCCAGTCACTGCATTTCTGAAGATTTCAGCTCATTGTCCTTCTTGAGAACTGTTGCTGAACTTTCATTACTAAGCTGCTTGTCACTGCTTGTCATTGCACCCACTGCTTGTCAAGACGACTGGCCAGTGTTCCAGTGTGACTGGGTTTGAACAGTTCGAGTGTGTTTTCATTCAACAAAACACTTGCAGATGCATGCATCTCTGAACCTAGTCTCATGTTCTATACTGTTGTCTTAGAATTATGTTTAGTCGCCTTCCACTCAAGCAAAAAAATGTATGCACCGTGATTTTGGTGGGAGGAGGGGTGTAAAGCTCAAGACTATTTCACTGATTTAAAGCACGGTGGTAGAACCTATTCCAGTGTGGTTGTTGCTCTTTTGTATCAGGTTCCTTTACTCTCTGAAGGTATTTTCCGATGAGGGAACACTTTTGGTCAACCCATCAAGGGGGCGGATCGACATCCATATAAGAATTTTATATTTATTTAACCTCAGAGCTTATACAAACCAATCCAGATTTGCTACCTCTAAGTGAAGTCCATGCAAACAGAGAAAGTGTTTCATTGACCCGAGTTATTCACTTTTGCGTTCACAATGAACTTGAAATACATTTTTGTGGGCTGTAAAAACATACCCATCAAACGCCTGATCTCATTCAGGATAAACACACACCTCAAAATTAAAACTGAATGACACAGTCTGCTCAGTTGGAAATTCTCTAACGCTCAACTAAGATAGGTAATTAGAACGTTGATTTGTTTCAAGAAGACATGTCGAAATTAAATGGGAAAGAATTTGGACCACAAATGCTGAGCAGCATTGATTGTCGTTTTCATTTGATTATTAGTCAAGCGTAAATTTCATTACTAACGCCCAGTAAAGTGATTTGCGTGTGGCCTTGTGCGAGCAAGATCCTCTGGTTCAGACCTGGCATATGGGATAGCTATTATTTTGTGAATGAATGTCAAACTGACATACTGCGGTACGCATTCGATCACTCTATCAGTTTGAGCGGGTTTTCTCAAGTCGGTCCCCCTTCGGATGGCAGATCACTATGGTGTACAACATGCTGTAATCAGAAAAATTTGTGTGTATAGACCTACCTTTTTAAATCGTAGGTATTTACGCCCATAGTTTGGCTTGTGTTCCGCGCTATAACCAGCTAATAACTTTTAACGGCCACTTGGACCCTTGATCTGACGTGTTACTTTGATATTGATGGTGTGTAGATTGATAAGAATCTCACCCATACACAGACGTTTATCCGAATAAAAGATGCAAGTCTTCGTCTGGCATTCAATAGCTGCTGATGCTTTGATGGTTTATCTACCATTATCAGATATCCGATTTCACACGGGAGCGCGTTTTTCCTCGCCAAGTTCTGACTCGTAAAACACTCTGTGCCCCAGAGAGACGCCTACAAGAAAATAAAAAGAGCACTCAGCCTCTAACTAGGTGTTTTTTTTTCAAAAAAGATTGGTCCGTTCGAGGAGGAACTTGCTTTTCAGTGCATATCCTAATCTTTCATAAATATTATAGAGTATCGCTGTTTATTTGAGATGCCTATATCACACCCACAACAAATAGCCTGTTAAAATTCTTTAATTAACACGTACTACTCACGTGGAAGTTTGCGTATCGTGTATGATGAGTGGCATAATTTCCTAAATAGTTTGGTGTCAGAAATGGACCAATCACGTAACTACAGAAATTTAGGCGAAATTTGTTGTTTAATCTTGCAGCATCCTGGACGAAAATACTCAGGGGGATTGTTTGTAAAAAAAAATTGGTTGACGCAACGAACCCTAGATTTGTATCTGAACTACCCTCGGACTAATTGTTTGGGATGCATAAAACAGAAGTCTTCTAAAAATAGAAAGATTCAAGCCTCCTGCGTGTGCATCTCCTTACCACTAATTAGTCAACTAAGAGATATAACTTGTGCAACGTATATCGGACCAACGTGTTTTTCAGTTACTTTTTCAGGTCTAACTGGCTGTTTGTCTGCTTTTC